GCTCTTTCCCACCAATATTACCTTTTGGTATATTATAAACCAAGAAACACCCACACATGACACATGCTATGAATAATCCCCTTCACACACTACTGAAGGCATAAAGAGGTCAACTAGATGACAAAATGAAGAACAAACATATTTATGTATCTGTGACAAACAAGCTGGTATTTTCCTCCAAGTAAACAGTAAAAACAAGCTGCATGACCAGTGACAGAAATCATCATAAATAAACAAGACTCAAATCAATGGCTAAGCAAGAAGCAGCACAAAAGCATTTAAGAGCCTCAAACATAAAGGGAGATTGAGAGAGGTTTATTCTCTGAAAGTCCCCCTAAAAGGTACTTCATGCAAAAGCTGCCACCTAAGGAACTTTCCCCTTCTAACTATCATTCCACATATAGGGGATCTGTGCTCAGACGAAGCTACTTGTATAAAAGTAACCAGCAAACTTCCCACACCTACGTGCATTCAAAATAAAATGTCNGCTCTGGGTACATAGACTGGGCAATGTTCGTGGATCCCTCCAATAAATATTTTTCCAAAATTTTCCTCAATCACCGAACATTTATGGCAAAAAAAGACCTACTTCTACAACCACTTGAATGTATATCTATCAAAAATAAAAAGGTGTACTAAAAATATCTGGATTGTTGTTGCGCAAACTAGAACCGTGTAACTCGGGGAATTTAGCAATCAAAATTTATAGCTCAAAATCCTTCCAGGCCATACTAATAGAATTAACCAAAACCAGCTACTATGAAGTGCTAAAAACATTTCTAACTTGCCATAAAAAGCACCATCCAATTCATTCAGAGTATGGAAANAAAAAAAAAAAAAAAAAAAAAGAAAAAAAAAAGAATGAGAAAATCAATTAGACTCAATTTGACAGTCCATTCTTAAAATAAAAAGAGGTCCACACCTCTCTCTATGTAAAAGTAATTCACCCACGAGTAACATAATTCATGATTGAGAATGAAATTTGGTAGTTTGGGCAGGAAGCATGCAATCACTGAGTTAAAAAAATTGCAGCCAAAATAAGGTACATGATTTTGCCAAGAGATAATCCAGTTAAGCTCAAAAAGGGAAAAAAAGAAAAACGATAACACGAGTACGTTATCCATTTTAAAAGCTACTCTTCAATGATCACCTAGACTGCTTGCTCTTCAATGGGCATATATAAACTTCCAGGACTCCTCAAGACCTGCTGATTTTCACAGAACTCAAAACTTATTTTGGTTGCGATAATAACACATTAGATTATTTTGCCTGGGACACGTATCAATTGTGTCACACAAACCATAGTTATCAAGTCAAAAAACTAAAAATTAAATTTCCTAACACCAAGCTATGCACCCTCCATGAATTCATTACATTAAGGCAACTTCTTATCCCATTTAGTGTCAAATGTAACATCATTGAATTGTCCTCCCCACCATGTTGGGTTACTGACTCAAAATCTAACCTGCTATGGATAATATTTCTGCTGCCAAGCCTGACTGTTCATAACACACCTATTAACAAAATTCATAGCCATATGCACACCGATTTATTTTCAAATTTCGCTCTGAACTACAACTTACAGTGTTCATAAAAATTCCTCTCATCAACAAATATGAGGGTCTGCTTATCCACAACACCCTACTAAGATTGCACAAGCACATCACCCAATCTAAGTAGCACACCCAGTTACTTCTATGCCCAAGTTACCAGAGTATAATCAAGAGGAACATCACCCCAAATCCTATCACTACATGTCATTAACCAGCCACAAACTACAAATACATTATTCAGACAGGTGAAATATTGAAAACCCACTTACCCAATTGATCTTTCCATCAATCGGCCCGCTTGTAAGACACATGTTTCCTTGCAGCTCTCGCATTCTCATACTCAAATTTCAACACGCTCGGTATGTGTGAAGTATCCTTAACGTAAAACCACCTCCCAAATGCGCTCTCTTCGATTGCCGGAAAATAGCTACTGAGCAAAGAATTGACCAACCAAAACCACCCAGCCCCAAGAAAAACCCCAAGGGAAGCCCCAGCAAAGACTTGTGCGAGAGTGTGGTACCCTAAATAAACCCTAGAGTACATAGTCAGGATTGCCAAAGGCCAAATCACAAGACCCACGACCCACATTTGCTTTCTAAAGATTTTCCCATATTTCTTGTAGGTCACAAGGGTTAAATATATGGCGAAAAAGAACATGTATTGAGAATGGCTGGAAGGCCACCCGTGTGAATCGCATATTTCAAGTAGTACACAAGTTTCTGGGCGTGCTTGTTTGACCGAGGTTTTGATGAATTCGTTGATGAATTGGGAAATGACGAGGCCGAGAGCGAAGAATATCCCTTGGAGCTCTCGGCGAAAAATGAAGTGAGAGACAAACCCACCAAGACTGATGAATACGGGGACTAAAGAAACCCATGCCAAGAAATGACCTAATTGGTCACCCTTCTGGTAGCGGACGTGGGTCAGAGTCACAGATTTCAGAGGAGGGTTTGACATGGTGTTTACAGAGAAGAGATATATGTATCTATAGAGAGAGAGAGAGAGAGAGAGAGAGATGCAACATCATTTTTACTTCATACACTGGTGATATTGATATTGAAGTTATGCAACATCATTTTCCAATGCACAGACGGACAAAAGTTCTCATCAACACCTTGTTCTGCATGCCACCCTATACTTTCAATCTTTTGCACACAAGACAAATGAAAATGTTACACATTGAGTTGCTCTTTCCCACCAATATTACCTTTTGGTATATTATAAACCAAGAAACACCCACACATGACACATGCTATGAATAATCCCCTTCACACACTACTGAAGGCATAAAGAGGTGAAGGCATAAAGAGGTCAACTAGATGACAAAATGAAGAACAAACATATTTATGTATCTGTGGNTTTATCTGGTTTATGAAGAAAAAGAAATCACTGGATAGAGAGAGAGAGAGAGGGGATCGGAGTTGAAACAAGATCTTCAGAGATTTAAGGAAATGCAAGATCGTATATTTTGGAGGAATTCAGAAAATTGTTGGCTTTTGTGTTCTCTCTCTCTCTCCACTGGGAAACCGTTGAAGCGCTCAAAATACACGGGAAAGGTTGAGGAAGGGGCTCCATTAAGTGTGAAACGCGTGTGGTCAGGTCGGCACTTAGGACCCGTTTGTCCATGGATAGTACCATATTCTCAATTATGGGTCCTGGTTTGCTCTCCTCTGCCCGTTTACACCTCTCACGGGCTGTTTGGTACGACGGAAGTAGAATGGATGGAAGAAAGGAAGGAAGGATGGAATGAGTGAAAAAAAGGAAAATTAGGATAAATATTATTGTTAGTTCATGAATTTTATATTTAGTTTTAATTTAGTCTCTGAACTTTCNAGATTTAAGGAAATGCAAGATCGTATATTTTGGAGGAATTCAGAAAATTGTTGGCTTCTGTGTTCTCTCTCTCTCTCCACTGGGAAACCGTTGAAGCGCTCAAAAAACACGGGAAAGGTTGAGGAAGGGGCTCCATTAAGTGTGAAACGCGTGTGATCAGGTCGGCACTTAGGACCCGTTTGTCCATGGATAGTACCATATTCTCAATTATGGGTCCTGGTTTGCTCTCCTCTGCCCGTTTACACCTCTCACGGGCTGTTTGGTACGACGGAAGTAGAATGGATGGAAGAAAGGAAGGAAGGATGGAATGAGTGAAAAACAGGAAAATTAGGATAAATATTATTGTTAGTTCATGAATTTTATATTTAGTTTTAATTTAGTCTCTGAACTTTTAATTATTTTAATTTAATCTCTTAATTATCAATTTTATCACAATCATGTCTTTCCATTCATAGTTACCGTTAGATCAACACTTGAATGAATCAGATTAGACTAGTCTTTGATTGATCTAATGGTGAAAATAAATAAAAAAAATATTTACTTGAGACAAAATTAATAGTGAAAACACTAAAGTAGGCTAATTGAAAGTTCATGAACTAAATTAAAATCAGAGACAAAGCTCATGAACTAATTATAGTATTTACCCAAAGGAAATTATTGTCTATTGTCTAGTTAAAGGTGAAAAATGGCAAAGAGGGGAAAGTGAGAGGGAGAAAGATTCTCTTCTTGCCTCCCAGTTTTTTCTTTCCTTTCGGGTGAACAATGAAGGAAAGAATTGGTTTAGTGATTGAAACTAATATTATTGGTCTACCTTCTTAAGTAATCAATAATTTGTATTTTTTTTAAAATAATTTCTTGCCTCTTCTAAAAATAATTAACTGACTAAATGTTAGGGTGCAACTTAAATGAGTTTGAAAGTTTAGGGGTCAATATTAAGTTCAACCTAAAAAATTGAATCTTCTATTTGAACCCGAATAGATATCAAATTCCTTAATGGCCCGTACGAATGATAGAAAGAATAAAGGAAAAAAAAATAAAAAGAATAAATTTTCAATACCTGAAAGAAAAAAATATATATTTTCTCTTTTTTGTTTGACAATAGAGATGGAAAGTACGAGTAATATATTTTTTATTTTTTGATATTGAATGAAAAATGAAAAGAAAGGAAACACATACATGTNGATTGAAACTAATATTATTGGTCTACCTTCTTAAGTAATCAATAATTTGTATTTTTTAAAAATAATTTCTTGCCTCTTCTAAAAATAATTAACTGACTAAATGTTAGGGTGCAACTTAAATGAGTTTGAAAGTTTAGGGATCAATATTAAGTTCAACCTAAAAAATTGAATCTCCTATTTGAACCCGAATAGATATCAAATTCCTTAATGGCCCGTTTGACACGAATGATAGAAAAAATAAAGAAAAAAAAAATAAAAAGAATAAATTTTCAATACCTGAAAGAAAAAAATATATATTTTCTCTTTTTTGTTTGACAGTAGAGATGGAAAGTACGAGTAATATATTTTTTATTTTTTGATATTGAATGAAAAATGAAAGGAAAGGAAACACATACATGCCCAATTTACACTCCTACCCTTAAATAGTGAATTAAATATTGTTGCAGTATGTATATTAGAATATATTAAAAAGTAAACAAGTAAACTTATCTTAAAAAGTATATTGGCCCAATTTTTCTTCTTACTTTCCGNGAAAAAAAAATAAAAAGAATAAATTTTCAATACCTGAAAGAAAAAAATATATATTTTCTCTTTTTTGTTTGACAATAGAGATGGAAAGTACGAGTAATATATTTTTTATTTTTTGATATTGAATGAAAAATGAAAAGAAAGGAAACACATACATGTCCAATTTACACTCCTACCCTTAAATAGTGAATTAAATATTGTTGCAGTATGTATATTAGAATATATTAAAAAGTAAACAAGTAAACTTATCTTAAAAAAAGTATATTGTCCCAATTTTTCTTCTTACTTTCCGCCCTTTTTTGGGGAGAAAAAAAAATGTGGGCTGGAGGGATTATATGCTCTCCTTACATTTTTCATTTTTCCCATACTTTCCTTTGATACCAAACAGTAATAAAGATTTTCATTCACCCAATTTTTTATTTTTCATCTACCCAATTTTTTTTTCGAACCAAAGAGAGCATTAATCCAAACACTATCGGTAATAACATCACTAAATTTGAGCTCAAGTACTATCTTATTCTATATTACAATTCACATCACTTAAACACACAATCATGATTATCACAATAAATCAAGTCCAAAAGCGAAACTAGAAAACCAACTAAAGTAATATAATTTTTAAATTTTTAAAAATTAATTAGTTTTCTATAGTTTCCTTATTAATTAACTAAAGTCATGTAACACAATTCATATTATTTGAGGTATTAAAAAAATTGTCACTTTCAATTAGTGATTCCGTTACAATTCCCCTAAAGAATATATTAAATCGACTAAAAAATATTGAAAAAAACCTCAAAAGTTTGTTTTTGAAGACAATAATTAGCTTCCTCTGAGTGAGTAGCACCAAAATATCTAATTGCTACACCAAAATATGAGTAATGCAGTCAAATTGGGAGTTTTTGGGTCGTGAAGTGAGTTAAAGATTGAGTTGAAATGATGTGGTGTGAGTGAGAATTTTGAAAAAATGTGATGAGTTTGGAATTAATTAATATTGCAATTTAATTGTTTCTTTTTGGCAATTGCATGTTTTTATTGAAAATGGTTTTGGTAATATGGTGAAATATGTGTTATTGTATATTTTTGAGATATCACAACCAAACGTTGTCAATAAAGATAAGGAAAATATTATTTATGCCTAATTTTAAAACAAAAACTAAAAAACTAAATTCAATGCAATCATTGAATTAAAGATGGACTATATGACATTGAAACAGATAATGTATCAACTCAAAGCACGAGATAGAATTACTTAAGTTGAAGAGCGTAAGACTTCTGTGCGATAATTTAAGTACAAAAGTGAACGGGTTAAAATTCTGATCATTATTTAACAGTTAGATTTAGACACGTGAAAAGTTGCATGTACTGAAAAGTGTTTAGAATGACTTTACTATAACCGAGTAGATAGCTAAGCTATCCCGACCGAGCTAAAAGTAGTCCAGTCGAGCAGAGCAAGTAAGTAGGCCATCCGGGCCGAGCAGAACAAGTAACTAGACTATTCCGACCAAGCTAAAATTAGTCTGACCTAGTAGAAGATAAAACTCGATCGAACAGACAACTAGGTTGTCCCGACTGAGCAAAGGATGAGATCCGACCAAGTTGTCATCAAATAGCTACCGAGCAGATCAGAAAGCTCGCAAAGGAAGGAATGAGCTCAATCCTCGTCACGACCGAGTTGTTTAAAACAATAATGTGGTGCTAAAAAGATGCCTACAATTTAGGCATTCTAGTTAAACGAATAGGCTCAATAGAAGGAATTGCGAGAGAAATCTTAGCAACTTCCTGAACAGAACCACCTGATTAGGGAAAGGTGTGCCACCTTGAATCGAAATTCATGAAAACCCTAACTAAATAGGGTCTATAAAAAGTAAAATGAGTCAAGGTGAAAGGTACGCTGAACTCTCCTTTTCTTCTAGCAATCACCTTTGTTCCATTATTAACTTAAGCATCGGAGTGCCTTCGATCAAAGCACTTCTATCTTGGGCAGTTTGTTCGTTTTGCAGGAAGAGAAGATTTGGAGATCCAATTCAGAAACAAACTTTGCTAGAAATATCCAGTCCAATTCCATTGAGGGGTAATTCATTTTTTTTTATCCCTTACAGAAAGTAAGTACAAGATAATAGGAAAGACACAGGTTATAGTGGTTCATTAACTGAAAAGCTTTGCTACTTCACTCTAATGAAGACTTTTACTCCTCGGGAGATTGTCTATTACTTGAAGAAGAACATAGGCCTTGGTGTATATATACCCTTACATAGTATGGTCCCTATGTTATCATCACATAGTTCCCAAGTTTGTTAGGATTTTGTGGAGAGAATATTGGGGCCATTATTGGTGCATTTCCTAAATGTGACGTGGCATGACCTTCTAGAAGTAAGATGTTGTTGCCCAAGAAGGTTGAGCTTTTGAAGTCATTGTACAAGTTGTTTGGGATGCTGCTAATGAGTCTGTATGACTTTCTTTGATG